GAAATGCTGTTGTTGGATTGTATCCTGGACATTGTATATGTTATGCTATGTAGATTTGGGGTCCTATTGTAATCTTCTGAACAACATTGTTTTTTGTAGGCAATGAAAGCAGTTAGATTCAGACTGCATTTCTGTCTCACCTTCTGTGAGTGATCGTTCTAATATTAGTTCACTTTTCAAAGCCTTTGCTATGCAACTTGCTTTCTGTCCCATGCATGTGCCTCTAGTCTGAGACTTGGGTGCTGGTTTCAGTCTTAGTTCAGTTCTTGGAGCCTTTGTGATGCTGCTTTGAGTCTGTCCCATGAATGCACAGCTCAGGGTGAGGCTGGGAATTGTGTTAGTTTATGTAGAGAATTGCAGGATTCCCTTTGCCACCTTCTCTCCATGATTCCCTCCATACTCTGCCCTGCAAGGGTGCTTTTCCCAGGTGCCTCTGGCCAGAAAGACAGGGTTTCATTTGGAGATTTACCTGCTCACGCTGTGGCACTACTGCTCTGTTGCTCTCTGTGGAGCTCTGTGACAGGGTCCTGCTCCAGCACAAAGCTGAGAGAATAGAATAAAATAAAATGAAATAACCTGGCAATTCACCTCCTTTAGATAGCTTCTCTAAGTTTTGACTCTTCTCCACAATTTACATTTTTTGTTCACTTTTCAGAGTCCTCAGGCAGTTGCCTTTTGTGTTGTGTCCAGAGCTGTTATTAGTAAAAAGCAAGAGAGAAAGGCAGTAGTGGGCTTACCCCATCATAGAGGAACTGGGGCTCCCAGCTTCTTTTTGTTTGTGCTTCACCAAGGATCTCTGCACCTCGAAGGGGAGAATATATGATGGTAGTGAACACGATGCCAATATATTTTGCAAAAGAGCTTGCAAAAAAATCTATATTTTGCTAATAAATGATGGTTTGGCATCACGGTAATGTAAATCTGTAATTTCCTTTCTTCAACTGTTTTATAAGATATGGGTTGTATTAATACTCTGTGCAGGGGGGTAACGTTTTCTGAGAGGGAAATTTGAAGTCCAAAAGGAATAGGGGGATATAGAAGCAAACAGTGTTGAAGAGGTGAGGATAGAGGCTTCTAGTCTGCGGGGAGTTCCTCATCACCCTGAGCTTGGAGTCTGACCGACTCCAGCTAATTGCCACTATCACCCTCTCTTCTCAAATGGCTGTTGGAAAGAAAGCAGGGCTAACACTTGTAGCAAAGAAGATTATAAGGAGGAAAAGAAGATTAGGTCTAAAAGTATTTAAAATTAAGGTGTGATTCTACCTTCCTTGAAATAGGACTTTGAGCCCACATTTGGCTGTATTTCAGCAAGAAAATGGTCTTTTAGTGTTTACTTTGAACTTAATTTAGAGGGACAACTTGGCTTCTTTATATTTGACTTTAGAATGTGGTAAAAGCAACTCCTATAATCCTATCACTTTCATTCATATATTAACTGTATTCTATTTGTTCTCCTTATTTAACTTTATTGTGTTTTTTTTTAAAATCATGAAAGTGCTAAATTCTTATTTTAAATATTTCAAATAAGAAGAAAGTATATGAAGCAAAAAAGTGAAAACTTACCCCCTGGGGGTAAGTATTGTTAATAGTGTTTCAGGAATTTGCTGGTTTCTTTTATTGGGATGGGGGACATAGTTGAAATTATTCTATATTAAAAAAACTTTTGTCCTGTCACTTAAGATGATTTTATATAGCCTAAACATTTTCACCATTTTTTTGTATCATTTAAAGACCTTTCCTTAAATGTAATTTTGTTTTAATTTTTAAAAATTATTTATAGGAAACTATTGAAGGATAGAAGGTGAGTGTTAAAATTTCCTCTTATCTGTCTTCTCATTTCCACTCCCTAGTGGGAGCCATTAACAATACTATTCCTTTTTGTGTGTTTCAGAAATGTTTTATGTATAAAAATATATTTATTATTCTATAAAGCAGCTTATACTTTATCCATTTTTTCTTTTTCTGAATATGTAAATATTATTAGAACATAAATATTTCCGCATTTGTTAAAGACTCCTTGCAAACATAATTTTTAATGACTGCAAAATTTATATTCTCTTGAAATTGCTTTCCATTTTCCTTACAGTACTTTTAAAATGAAGGGATGGTGTTTTTAAATAAGTCGTAAGAGCCTCTCAGACCCATCTTATCTGAAACATCTGATCTCTTCTAGCCATTTTAATAAGATAACTTGTGAAAACACCTGGTCTGGACCTTGGAATGAAGTCATTAGATAAGTTTATTCTTTTGCCTCCTTTTTTTTTTTTAACTCTCAGCTACCAGGTGAGGGCGGCTGCAGATCAACAAGGATAAGCATCAATTTGAGATGAATGCTGGTAACCAATATGCATGACGGTCTTATTGTGAACAGAGCGCTTGGTATTAAATGGCTGTTGTCAAAGCGATAAGATAAGGCTCCTGCATTTTACAAGACACTCAGGATAAATACTTAAACCTCTCATCGTGTAACATACAGAAGAGATTAAATTGATATATTGAGAAAAGAAAACAAGTTGAGGAAAGGATCTAGAAAAAAATCAATTAATTTGTTACTAGCAAGAGAGTGGTGTCAGGACTGCTCAAACTAAGGATGAATCCTGCCTCTGACCTCCAGCTCTCCTCTTCCAGGCGGAACTGCCTCATCTCTACAATGAGAATATGATTAGTTATTTTCTAGGGTTTTGTGAGGAATCAGTGAGAGCTCAGTGAATGTTTTCCGTCATCCTTTACCTTCTATGCTCTGATGCCTCATCACTTTTCCATTGCAGCAATTCGGCCATTGTAGTTAAACTGTTATCTACTGTTTGCTCTTTATCAGTCCCTCCTGGCTGGGAGGTAAACTCTGGAGAGTGCGCAGACATGGGTCTATCTTATTTCCCAGCAAATTCTCAGTGCTTATCTTTTTTTTGTAGAGCTCAATGGTTAAGTGCCTGAACTCTGGACTCAGACAACCTCAGCTCTCACATTTATTAGCTCTTTGACCCTGGGCTGGTTACTCAGTTTTCTTATCTGTAAAATGAGGACAAAAATGTTGTCTATCTCTTTGGGTTATTATGAGGATCAAATATGTTAATATTTAAATTAGAACATGTGCCTGACACACTAAATGCGTGTTAAACAAAATACACAATAGTTGCTCAACATCTGTTAAATGAGAGAAGAAAAGGTCTTTATTGGCCGTCTCCAGTGAGCTGGGTGGAAGACAGTTTTGCAGATGCTGTGTCCCCTGGAATATTGTCATTTTTTGCTTCGGTTCAGTCATGGCTGTGGCACATAGTGTGGCGCTTGGGATAACTGAACTCTCATGAATAAAGTGTCCTCATTTGGAGCAAACTGACCCAGAAATGTAGTCTTATACTTGTTATGGTCTGACTCTCAGATGTCTGAATTATATTTAGTCAAAGCCAATTCTAGTATTTTATTGATAGAACAGTAAAAATTAATTGCTTTTATTTTACTCCTCTCTACTTTCAAAGTGTTTTATTTTAAGACAAAACAATAACAAATCACCTGGGCTTTTCATGTTCAAGTGCTTAACTCAGCAGGGGTCAGAAAGATTACTGAGAGTTGCAAAAATGCAGAGTGTGCTTTTCCGCTGTCAGATTGTCCCTGTCCCCCAGGTCCACTGTGTGCTTCAGGGTCTATGTATGGAAGCAAAAGCATGTCTGTTAAAATGATCAGACAACAAAGACAGCAAAATAAGCAGAACAAAACCTTCCAGAGGGACCAAAGGGCCAGTCCTTATAGGTCTTGAATCTGGTTGCAATGTCTAAAAATAGTTTTGTGTTTTGGAGTATGATATCAAGAGCACTGAAATTTGAAATTGAGAAAATTAAAAAGAATTCTTCTCCCAAAGTAATTTTGACTATGTCCTACTCATTAATTATGACAATATATGCTTTGTAGTTTCCAGTGTGTTCTCACATACAGTATCTTAATCTTTGAGGGGGGACCTTATTGTTTCCATTTTGATTTTGCCCTCTGCATTCATCCAGTGCCATGGTTATGTTACTTTATTTATTTACATTCACCTGCTACAAAAATTCAATATATACAAAAGATATTTGGCAAATCTTAAGTCTCCATCCCTCTGTGTCCCCCAACCACCCAGTTTGTCTTCCTGAGGCCACCATTTTTTATGTATATCCTTTCATTGGTATACTTTGCATTTATAAACATACACATACATTCTTCCTCTTGTCCCCACCACCCTTCATGAAAACTAATACCATATTCTCTGTTGAGAACCATGCTCTTTTCACTTATCATGTATCATAAAGATTGTCCCGTGTTGGTGCACACAGACCTGCCACATTCTTTATGCCAATTGCTTAGTGTTCCACTGATTTAATAAATCTCCCACTAGAGGACACTTAAGTTGCTTCCATTCTTTTGCTATATAAAAACTACTGCCGTAGATAATCTTATACATACATCATTTGACACATGTGCCTTGGTATTAGTATAGTGGTTTTAAACATTATTTGGTTGACAGAAGACTTGGGAGCTGTAATGTTCTTTGCAGAACAGCACTATGAAATAGTAAGATATTATATAAAATAACTAAGGATTTGTGCTAGAGTAGAGATTGTCTTATCCTAGACTAGTATAGTGAAATGGTTGCAGGTGCTCCAGGTTTAAGGTAAAAATGTTAAGAAAGCCCCTTGACCCCATGGGAGGGGGTCCTAGTCTGTTGGGTCCCCATACTATCGTCCACACCCGGGACACTCCTCCACAGTGTGTGTTGAATTGATAGTGGGCACATCACTTTATTTCTCCACATCTTACCTGCCTGCTCACAGGGTGGCTCTTGGAGTCCTATGAAATATAAAAAAAATTTCTTTGTATACTTGAAAGGACTGAGTGTAAGATATTGTTATTTGTATAGTACTTAGTTATATCGTGTTTCTCATCTTATTTGTTCCTAGTAGCAGCCCTAGATTTTAGAGGAATCTAGCATGATCAGAAAACACATGTTTCACATAGAAATTTTCTAGATTAGCTTGAGGTTTCCAGTTAAATTCTGAAAGGAAAACTTTATTTTCAGCTTCATGGCTGCAAGGTGGAGTTTGGACCCAACCCAGACTTTTTCTGACAGTTTGCAAGCATCATTTTCAACATTGATTAATGTACATTAGATGGTGATATTTTTAAACTATTAGGTGTTTTCCTCTGCTAAGAATCCTCAAATGTGTGTGTGTGTGTGTGTTGACCTTCTTACTGCTATTTGCACTTATTACCTCTCAGGCTGAGAGCTGTTAACTCATGCCATCAATATGCCTGCCTCTAAAGGTCTCCTGTCCCCACTCTGCCATTTCTAATCCAGTGTAGACAGAGAAATCAGACCTGGATATTCATAATTATGTGTAACGTATAAATACACTGCTGTGAATCATGGTCTAAAGAGCACATGGGTTGCCTGGAAAGCTTCCTCTGAAGAAAGCCAGTTAGAATACTTTTTAAAGGAAATAAAGTATAGTAGACAGAGCAGATATTCTAAGTATGGAGACGGTGACTGAGTTGTTTGTTAGAAACAGTTGTATCTAGTCATAGTAGAAGTCATTTACTTGGATTTAAAAATTCAACAAATGTTGACTGAATACCTTTTATGTACCATGAGGCAGTTAGTAAACCATGAACAAATAAAATGTGTGAGGTGTTGGTAAGTACCATAAAAACAAATAAATAAGGAGGGAAGGAAGGAAAGAAAGAAAGAAGGAAGGAAAGAAAATAAAGGAAGATAGATACCTGAATACATGCCTGAGAGGAATGGGAGGACTGTAGGTAAGCTTTTATGTAGGTGGTCAGGAGAGAACTCTCTAGTAAGGTGACCTTTGAGCAGAGACCTGAAGGAGGTGGGGGAGCCAAAAGTAAGTGCAATGGCCCTGAGGCATTGCTTGACCTGATCCACACAAAGGGGGTCAGTGTGGGTGCAGCAGGGTGAGCCATGTGGAGAGCAGGAGGAGGTGCATGTGGCTGCAGGGCTGACTGGGTAGGGCCTTGGAGACCCCTGTGAGGTCATTGGCTCTTGCTCTGAGTCACATGGGAAGGCATGACTAGGTTTTGAGCAGCCATGACCAGAGCTCACAGACTGGCTGCGGTAATGGAGCTCAGATGCCAGGAAAGCAGTTAGGAGAAGACTCATGAAATCCAGAGGACAGATGACGGTGGCTTCGAAATATCGGAATCTAAGGATGCTTGAGTAAGTGGAGGAGAGCCGCTAGGGAGGCCCTTGTGAATAATGATGGAAAACTGCAATTGATTTTAAATGGAAGGCTCCTGGTGCCATGCAGGCCTCCTGTGCCCTTCCTGCCCCAGGAAGTACTTCCCAATGGGCTAGTCTGCTAGCCACTGTTTTCACTTCGTCGTTTCTTCCCTAGCAGAGGAAACCTCAGAATAAAAATATTTAAATTTTATTTATAGGCTTCCATTTTATAAACATCACAATTCTGAAAATAGTCATATTGCTGAAAGACTGGCCAGCATTTGAAACCCCTTTCTAAGATTCTCAATAACCTCCTTTCAAAATTTAGGGCATTTTTTCCTTTCTAATTGCCCTCCACCTTGACTCCTCAAAGCTCCTCTTCTGCTTCCATGATTCTGCAGCTTTTTAGGTCATCCTATTGCTATGTTTTCAGTCTTTCTTTTTTCCCTCACCCTCAATGTGTGTGTCCACTAAGGTCACGCCCTCTACCTTTTGCTCTTCTGTTTTTTAAGTAGTCTCTGGGTGAATTCGTTACCTCTTTAGGTTAAACCATCCTTGGGCAGGGGTCACGGATCCCCACCTCCGGCTCTGACATGTCAGCTCTATGTTGGTCTATATTTTATCAAAACTTGCTCCTTGTCCCCATTTCTCTTATTGGTACTTCCATTCTTCTTGTCTCAAAACAGAGCCCAGCCTGATACATTTTTCTGCTCCGTTTCTTTCCAATCTGTTTTCAAATCTTAGCCTTTTTTTGGAGTGTCTTTCAGGTTTATACTTTCTTCTCTCATAATAGATGCTACATAGCCCCAGTGTTACCATTTTATTTCTGGATTCCAGCCACAGCCTGTGAGTGGCTAATTTTGCTTCCAGCCTCCCTCAGCTCTAGTCCTTCTGACATAACAGTGGTATTTCAGTCAACAAATATTTACTGAATGCTTATTGTATGCCAGGCACTGTTGTAGGCACTGGGGATATAAAACAGGCAGTTAGCCTACCCTTTAGGAGCTCACATTCTAGAGTGAGGAGCAGACAGTGAAGTAAGTATTGTAGAGGAGGAAGACGTTTCCTCTACCCACTCTAGGTCCTTCTGGCCAGACAACGAATTAAATTCACATGGGACAGAATAACAGGTGAAAATTAAACAAAGCATTATAACATGTATACATGGGAGACACTCAGGAAAACAGAGCAACAGACCAAAAGGGCAGAGGTTCCCATCTTAAATACCACCCTCAGCTAAAGACAACGGAGGATGTTGGGGGTGGGAGGAGTCACTTATGGGAGATTACCAGAAAAGCACAGTAAACAAGAGTAAGGTTGCAGATTTAAGTCCTTGCCTTGTGCATTGATAAGAGTTTCTAGAGATAAGGTCATCCCCGCTTCTTCCTGGTTCAGAGAGGGAGATACCTTTACAGATGGAGATTACCTTTACAAATGTAAACGTGTCTTGCAAAGGGTAACTTCTACTTTTGAGAGTTTCTCTCATGTCTGCAGTTTTTGAAAGTAACCAGCCCAAAATAATCCTCTTACCAAAGAGATGTATCTTGGGGTGGCCAATTCCAATCCCCCATAGTATGTAGAGAAATACAGTCCACTCTCTGTATCCACAGATTTTGTGTTGGTGGTTGCTTGAATCTATGTATGCCGATGATTATGGAGGGCCTACTGACTGTATGTATTTATTGTACTACACCATTTTACATAAGGGACTTGAGCATCTACAGATTTTAGAACCAATACCCCACAGATATGGAGGGACGACAGTATATATGTTTGTTGGTGTTTGTGCTAAGAGGAGGAGAAAAAAGACAGGGGAGAGGGGTAGGGGTAGGGGTACAGAGTGTCAGATTGGGAAGAGATTTGCAGTTTAAAATGAGGTGGTTAGGAAGGTCTCACAGAGAAGGTGACAAAAAATTTTTTTATTGACATAAAATATGTATAACAAAATTTTACCATTTTAATCATTTTTGAGTGTACAATTCAGTAGTGTTAGTATATTCACATTGTTGTGCAATCATTATCACCATCTATCTCTAGATCTTTAGCCTCCCAAACTGAAACTCTGTCCCCATTAAACAATAACTTTCCATTTAGCCCTCCCCCCAGCTCCTGGTACCACCATTCTACTTTCTTCTATGTAAACTTGACTACTCTAGGTACCTCACATAAGTGGAATCATACAATGTTTGTACTTTCTTGTCTGGCTTATTTCACCTAGCATAATATCTTCAAGGTTCATCCATGCTGTAGCGTGTGTTAGAATTTCCTTCCTTTTTAAGGCTAAGCAATATTCTATTGTATGTGTGTAATACATTTTGTTTATCCATTCGTCTGCTGGTGGACATCTGGCTTGTTTCCACTTTTTGGCTCTTGTAAATAATGTTGCTATGAACATGGGTGTACAAATATCTCTTTGAGTCCCTCCTTTCATATATATCTTTGGGATATATACCTAGAAGTGGAATTGCTGAATCATATGGTAATTATGTATTTAATTTTTAGAGGAACTGCCATATTATCTTCCACAGTGGCTGAACCATTTTATATTTCCATAAGGTAACTTTTGAATGAAGACCTAAGGGGGTCTTCATAGCTAGAGAGGCAACATAGACTTGTACAATAAATGCTTGTCGATAGGTTGATTCTGTACTTGTTAGTGAGGTTGATTCTATACTTGTTAGTGAACATTTTATGGTAGTTTATATAGGCGATAAAATTAAGTAGGTCTCGATCACACCTGTTTCACTAGAGTGTCTAAATTAGCATTTTAAAAGCCGAAATCCAAAGGGCTGTCTTTATATTTGCTGTACCATTTTTTTTTTTAATTAGCTTGCCATCGTGGAGACCGAAGCATGCCAATTAAGCGCTTATCCAATTATTAGAGCTTCAGAGAAAAGCAGTGGATTAGGAATTCTTCATGTTAATGTTATGAGTTACTTAAAAAAAATTAACCACAATTTGCAAAGTTTTAAAGCATTTAAGATAAATACATTCATTTAAGTCTCACATCAAACACTGCAGGAACTGAATTCTACTCAATGTGAGTTTTCTGCTAGCTCATGTCAGTTCATGCTTTCTAACTATATACACTAACTTTAGATCCTAGGTATATGCCATTATTTTGTGTTACATTATAGGGCCTGGAAATGATTCAGTGGGTTGTTATGAGCAAGCCCTTCTGTATCAACATAATTAGATAATAAGCATCTTGCAGCCACTACCAAGAATAAAAAATTGTTAAAATTTTGCCACTTTAGGTTATCTTTTCTCATAAAGGAAATAGGACATCACAGATAAAATTTACTTGGTCCTTCGTCTCCCGTCTCATTCCTCTCTCCCATCCTAAGGTCAACCACTATCATGAATTTAGTGCCTCTCCTTCTAGTCTATTTCTTATACTTTTGCATATTTAGGTATATAGTTATGAATTAAGTACACTATTATTTTATTACTATTTAAAAAGTTTACCTAAGTGTTACTGTAGTTATCTCCACAGAAACAGGACCAATAGGAGATCCATATATGTAAATAAAAAGATTTATTATAAGGAATTGTCACATGTAATTATGGAGATTGAGAAGTTTCAAGGTCTGCAGTTAGCAACCTGGAGACCCAGAGAGCCAATGGTGTAAGTTCCAGTCTAAGTTTGAGTCCAACGGTAGGAAAAGACCGATGTCACAGCTCAAAGACAGATGGAAAGAGAGAAAATTTACATAAACGATATAGTTATCGTATAACCTGCTTTTCTGAGGCTTCTTTTGACATGGATCTAAGTTATTTTTTTTTTTAAAGATTTTATTTTTTTCCTTTTTCTCCCCAAAGCCCCCCAGTACATAGTTGTACATTCTTCGTTGCGGGTCCTTCTAGTTGTGGCATGTGGGACGCTGCCTCAGCGTGGTCTGATGAGCAGTGCCGTGTCCACGCCCAGGATTCGAACCAACGAAACACTGGGCCGCCTGCAGCGGAGCGCGCGAACTTAACCACTCGGCCACGGGGCCAGCCCCCGATCTAAGTTATTTTTTAACTGCTACATAGTAATTCTGTTTTATGAGTATAGGATTTAATTTGTCCGTTTACTTTTTGATGAATAAATGTTTTTGTACATTTCATCAAGCATATAGTAAGAACTCTCTAGAAGGAGCAGCCCCCTTTGGCAGTAGGCTGTTATTGAAAGAGTATCGCACATTTACTGAGTACATTATGACTGAGTGAGACACATCAAGGTGTAAGAGGTAGGGCGCAAGTGTTCCAGACACTGAGGGACGCAGTAGGAGCACAAGGACCGGTTGCTGCCTTTGAAAGGCTCTGAATCCAGTTGATGAGTCAGACTCCAGGGATTCATGGGCTAGACTTCCAGGGACTCCAGGATAATTTGCTCCTACTTTTGCTACTTATGATGCCGTTAACCAACAGACTCTTTGTCTTAGTTCAAACTCCTCAAAAAAGAAGATCTAATTGGGCAAAAATATAGTAAATTTCACAAGGAATGTAATGTTTCATTTTAAAGCAGATTTGAGTCAATTAGAATGCTAACTTTCCCTACTGTAGAGTTTTAGTGGCTAAAAAATTAGGCTCATTTCTATTATTGACATCCTTCTCTTCAATTAAATATATTACTTAGGTTGTAATATATATTTTTCCCAATGGATTGATTTTGAAATAATTAATTTTGAAATAAATTCAAACTTACAGAAAAGTTCCCGAATGGAACAAAGAACTCCTTTACCCCCAGATTCCCCAATTGTCAACATTTTACTGTTTTTGCTCCATGGTGTGTGCTCTGTGTGTGTGTGTGTGTGTGTGTGTGTGAGTGATCATTAGTCTTTTTCTTAACCTTTTGAGAACAAGCTGCTGACATGATGTCCCGTCCCCTCTAAGCACTTCAGTATCTGTCTCCTCCAAACAGGGATGTTCTTCTATATAACCAGTACACAACACTCCAAATCAGGAAGCAAGCTTTTGTGCTACACCACCATTCACTTCACAATGTAACATTA